GCTCCAGGTCTTGTTTTTGCTGACTGTATTGAGCTTCTCCATCTTTGGCTGCAGAGAATACAGTATAATCAATCTTATTACGGTATTGCCCATCGGGTGATTTCCATGTGTAAAGTCACCTCTTGTGTTGTTGGAAAAGAGTGTTTGTGATGACCAGCTTGTTCTCTTGACAAAACTCTATTAGCCGTTGCCTTGCTTCATTTTGAACTCCAAGCCAAACTTTCCTGTTGTTCCTTTTATCTCTTGACTCCCTACTTTAGCATTCCAATCCCCTAGAATGAGAAGAACATCTTTCTTTGGTTTCAGTTCTAGAAGTTGTTGTAAGTCTTCATAGAATTGGTCAATTTCAGTCTCCTCAGCATTGGTGGTTGGTGCATAAACTTGGATTATTGTGATGTTGAAAGGTCTGCCTTGGATTCGTATTGAATTCATTCTATCATTTTTGAGATTATATCCCATCACAGCTTTTCCCACTCTTTTGTTGACTATGAGGGCTACTCCATTCCTTCTACGGGATTCTTGCCCACAATAGTAGATATGATAGTCATCTGAATTGAATTCGCCCATTCCTGTCCATTTTAGTTCACTGATGCCCAGGATGTCAATGCTTATTCTTGCCACCTCCTGTTTGACCACATCCAGCTTACCAAGATTCATAGATCTTACATTCCAGTTTCCTATGCAGTATTTTTCTTTGCAGCATTGGACTTTCCTTTCACTTCCAGGCACGTCTGCAACTGAGTATCCTTTCGGCTTTGGCCCAACCACTTAATTAGCTGTGGAGCTGCTTGTACTTGTCCTCCGTTCTTCCTTAGGAGCATGTTGGATGCCTTCCGACCTGAAGGTTCCATCTTCCAGCGCCATATCTTTTAGCCTTTTTCTCTTCATGGGGTATTCTTGGCAAAGATATTGGAGTGGCTTGCCTATTCCTACTCTAGGTGGAATGCGTTTAGTCAGAACTCTCCACTATGACCTGTCTGTCTTGGGTGTCCCTGCACGGCATAGCCCACAGCTTCTCTGAATTACTCAAGCCCCTTCGCCACGACAAGGCAGCAATCCATGAAGGAGGAAATCATTTTACTGCCAATATTTTCACACTGTATTTTTAAAGGAAGCTATGTGTGGATGTATGACGTACGCATGTCACTGGTTTGTTCAGTTTGATTGATCTTTTCCTGCCTGTTATCTCCCCTACTCCACCCCCATTAGGTGTGGACACTGCAAAAGATTGGCTCCAGAATATGAAAAAGCAGCAAAGGAGCTGAGGAAACATGTTCCTCCTATCCACCTTGCTAAAGTTGATGCAGTTGCTGAAACAGACCTTGCAAAGCGGTTTGATGTGTCAGGATACCCAACACTCAAGATCTTCCGCCAGGGCAAACCTTTTGAGTACAATGGCCCAAGAGAAAAATATGGTATAGTAAATTACTTCCTTTTTCAACACTGTAATAAAGTTTGATCCTCTGAACATGTTTAAGGAAGCCTGTGTACCAAGAAATTGTTTTCTCATTGAGATACTGATGTTTTTAAGAACCTCATGCGCTTGGTTGATGGAGTGTGAAAAACCCTTACAGCAATTTCATGATAATATAAACAGCACACTTTCACATGGTTGTGTCCTCATGGTGGTGGCCAGCAGTAGTTTCCCTTGTTTTGTTAGTTGGGAATTTAACCGCCCTGAGTAGACTTTTGTCTAGAAGGGTGGAATATAAATCCAATAATAAATAAAAATAAATAACACAAAATGGTCCTAAAGCTGTTACTAGCCATATCTGTATTATGCTATATTGTAAGTATAGTTTCTTTTATGTAACAGTACATTCTAAAAAACTCAGTACAAAGTTCCGATTGTAGAAGCAGAGAGTAAAATCAGATTTGAATAAAATTTAACATGAATTTGAAGGTGTCACTTGGCAGTAACTTCACTGTTTCTGTTCTTTAGTTTTTAGATATACAGTGGTGCCTCACATAACGAGCACACCGTTTAATGATGAATCCGCATAGCAATCTATTTTTTGGGATCGCTCATGCGATCACATAGCGATGTTTTAATAGCCTAAACATCGCATTGCGATAACCGGTAAGCGTTTCGCTTACCGATCTTCGCATTGCGATGTTTGCGGAACAGCTGATCAGTGGTTCCAAAATGGCCGCTGGGTGCCCAAAATGGCCGCCGCAACCATTTTCGCACGATTTCCTCGCTTACCGAGGCGGCGAAAATAGCAGCACTATGGAGGATCTTCGCATAACGGTGAGTTTTTGCCCCATAGGGTTTTTGCCCCCCGCATTGCGAAGTTTCCGGATAGTGACGAACGGATTAACGTCGCTATGCGGGACACCACTGTATATAGATATATCTATATCTATAGATATTGATATAGGCAAAATGATGGATTGAATCTGATTGTGTATTTTTGCTTCTGTGATTCCATTGGTGTAACTTTCATCAGTCCAAATTTAAAAGTTGGCACGCATTTCCTGTCTGACACCAAATCATGAAACTAGTGTACTACAGGTATTTCTGTGCTGACTTACCAATTTCTGGCAGTTCACCACTAACAATTATGCCACTGAAATTATGTTGGAGAATAACCAATAAGATTCTGGTTGATATGTATAAAAATCCATGTATGATTATTGAGTAAGAAGGTGTAAAAACTTTGACCTAGACAAATAGGGTTAATTGTATCTACTACAGAGCATTATAGTTTCCTTCCATACTCTGTGTTGCATAGTTAATATCTCAGTTAGTATAGTTCTGCATTTTTGGTTATTTTCCACACAAGAATCTTCCCTCCATTCTGCCTTTGTCAGAGTTGCTAATCCTGCTGTGGGAAGTACAGCAGGTGGGTTAGGAGATTGATCACCATTGGACTTCTAGATTGTGAGCCTGGCCAGCTTGGGGGTGGGGGGCGCTTTCATTCTTTGCTCCATAAAACCAGCTACAGGGTTTACTGGATTGGATAGCAAGTGTTTACATTCAGAGTCCTGAGTACTAGTTCAACTCATGAGCCCCACATTCTCTTCAACAGTCAATAACCCTTTGGTTCTCTTCACTGGAGTCTTTCATTTGAGTAACTACAGTCCTTATTTCAGGGTTTCTCCTCCTAGAAATGACCCCCCCCCCAAGCAAATGGGGATATGCCCACACTGAAGAAAGTTGGTTGGGGATCTTCTGCCAGTGCTACTCATCTGCCAGCCTCTTGACGCTGGTGGTTTCACTGTCTCTTTCTCTGCCAACTGAGAAGGTGTTGGATCACCTTTCTTTTTCCTCTCTTCCTCTTTTCTTTTCCCAATGGGAGGGTCACAGAGGCAGTTGGCGCTCATACTTATCTTTATATATGTAGTACAATTCACCCTGGGTTCTTCAGGGCATGCCTCAACCCAGTAGTTGCCTGACTACTCTTCCTAGGTATCTGTCTAATCTTCATCCTGTGAAGGTCCTCCTCCCCCTGCCCCTTCTGTTCCAAGAGGTTCTTGATCTTGGAATTCTCCTTCCTGTGCTGGGGTGCCTATCTCCCACTTTTGGGCTTCCCCACTGGCCCTGAAGTGACTATCTTTCCCCCTTGGAGTTCTTGCACCTTCTCCCTCTGACAGCCTCCTTCCCTCTATGCCTCCTACCAGGTTTCTGCTGCCTGTGATGGCAAGGCAGCTGTTTAAATTCTTATTTGTGTGGTTGTGTTCATTCTTGGATAACTTTTATTTGAATTGTTTCTTTTTAAGGGTTTCTGCATTCCTTTTCATTTGAAAAATGCAACATGATTGACCAATATGGAAATCAATAGGAAAAAATAATTCAATAATTAATTACCAAATTAGTGATTGACATTAAAAATTATCAGAGATATCACATGAAGAATTAGAATTAAGGAAACAATAATTTTTGCCTGGTACCTAAAAGACAACAGCATTTATTTCACCAGGAGTGGACAGCTTCTAAGGTCATATTCCTTCTCTTGAACCCATTGGGTGATGGACCCATTCCCTGTTATAGGATGAAAACTACCATTTGACATGCTGTCAGTACCCTGTTTCTGCTAGGAAGACAGGCAGTTGCTTCCTGTGCTTCCCAGAAGAAGTGCTTGGATTTCTTCAGCTGTTGCAACTTTTCAGTGGCACTGTATGGGAGGCAGGGAGTTTAGTGCACAGCTGCCCAACTGTTGCCTACTCCTGATGCGTGATCTCAGCTAGCATTTCACTTAGACAAACAGTCTAAGTAGACATGGTCTAGAGGGGCGGGGTAAAAATCAAATAAATAAATAGAACGCTTATAAGACATAAAATACTAAAGTCCTTAAGTTAATTACATTTTCTAAAAGAGCAAAAACATATTTCAGTTGTTGGGAAATACAGGTTCAGTACTTCATACACTAGGGAAGCCAATGAAATGCTTGCTTTAATTAAAAAACAAATCAAGGAAACATTATTTCATTTCAAAACAAAACTATGCAGGTAATCTAATGCTTTTTGGTCAATATCATGAATGCATCTTTTGTTGACAGGAATTGTTGATTATATGATAGAACAGTCTGGCCCGCCATCTAAACAAATACAGACTAGCAAACAGGTACAGGAATTTGTGAAAGATGGAGATGATGTTATCATCATTGGAGTGTTTAAAGGAGACCAGGACCCAGCTTACCAAATATATCAAGATGCTGGTAAGCCCTTTTGTTACTTGCAAATAAATTGCTCACATGTATTCAATACCTATGCATAGGAACTGCTTCATAGACTTTCTGTGACTGCTATTAAGGAAAATATATTTCAGTAGTATATGCTTAAAACCTGAGGGACAAACAAATTTCATCCCTGAAATTATGGCAGTAAAACTTAAATAAGCTACTCTCTAGAATTGAGTGTTATCAGTAGAAATTGTCTTTATCTTGTTAAAATGAAGACTGCCATGTCTTTGTGCCTCTCTTCCCAGCCAGATGGGATCTATATCCTTTGATATAGTGGAGAATATGGTATGTCAGTGGCAACTTCAACCCCTTGTTTGCATAAATGGAGAAAGACAATTCATTCTGTACTGTAGGTGAAGAATCATCATGCTTCCAAATGATGCAACAATCTTGAAATCATCTTGGGAAATTTCTTTAAAAGGACCCTGACAACATCTAGTCAGAGTACAGTGGACCCTCAACTTACAGATGGCTCCACTTACAGACTTTTCGAGTTACAGACTTCTTTGGCCGCAAAATTTAGGTTTGACTTGCAGCCGGAGAATCGACCTACAGACCGGGAAGAAAAACAAAATAGAACAAAAACGGCCGGTTATGGATTAATCAGTTTTCAGTGCATTGTAGGTCAATGGAACCTCGACCTACAGACTTTTCGACCTGCAGCCACCATTCCAATACGGATTAATTCTGTAAGTCGAGGGTCCACTGTAAATGTTTTGGACTTTTTCATTTGTTTTCTTTCACTCCATCCACCTGTGTAATGCCCAGCCTGAAGAAGAGTCCTGCTGAACTCAAACACTTGCTTTTTAATGTTTTAGAATTCTCATAAAACTATTCCCCAGCCTTGTTCTTGGATTTTTGTCTAGTAATGAATTCTAGAGCTTCCAATCTAAGGATAATAAAAGTGTAACACATCTTCAAGTTATACTTGGCATAATCTTTAATAGATTGCACACTGCTTCATCAGATGGATAGCTTAAGGATGAGTTCTTATGTAAAGTACTCATGTGGGTGACTCAGAAATAGGTGGGAAAACCCTTAATATCCCATTCTTTTCCCCTTTCAGCCAACAACTTAAGAGAGGAATACAGATTCTATCATACTTTCAGCAATGAAATTTCAAGCTTTTTGAAGGTGGAATCTGGGAAAGTGGTTGTGATGCAACCTGAAAAATATCATTCAAAATATGAGTCTAAAATGCATGTTTTGGATATTACAGTAAGTAGCTACGTCAAAACTATGTTAGGATTCCATGTCAGGTAAATTTATAAAAAGTAATCTGTATGTCACTCTCATGATTCGACTTGGCTCCTGATTCTTTCATCAACCAAAGAGCTCACACTACATGCCCCTCAGCTGCCACCAGTTGATTTCATCAACAATACCTGTTAATTGATACAGGTGTTGACAGAACAAGCAATGTTAACTCCTAAACAAACCTTTATCCACCCTCAATCACCGTTCTCTCACCCAAACTCCAAAACATTCTCAACTCTCTTTAACGCTTTAGTTCTCCATCTCAAAACCCTATCTGAACCTTATCTATGTTTATCTCTCTCCTCCTCCTGCTGAGTCTCTTATACCTTGTGACTCTGCCCCTCCTGCACTCCCATTGGTCTATGCAAACTGCATATGACTATTCATGACCTGGATGAACACCACAAGCACATACAGTACTAATTTTTAATTATTTCCTGTTTCTTGGTTGGCTTAACATAATCTTGCATTTCATGATGGAATTACATCTATCTTAAATGAAAGTATTCTGTGTGAATGTGCTAAAATTATTCTGTCAAAATTTTCCATAAATTAAAAACATTCTGGAAAACCTGCTGCCTCAGGTAGTTGAGTATAAAGGTGAGGGTTTCTTCAGTGGCTCCACAGCTTTTGAAGGACTTTTGATTCCATTGAGGAGTTCATCAGGTCCCCCCTCTGCAAACCTTGTGGAAAGATCTGACAAACCAGTTATTTTCATTGGCATTTTTGCTCCTCTGCTTTTAGTTGTAATCAGTGGTATTTATTATTGTTATTATATTACTGTACAGTCAACCCTCGACTTAGAAACTGCCCTAGTTACAAACATTTTGACTTACAAACCGCTCTGATAGAAAAATATTGACTCAACTTGCAAACTTAGATTAGAGGTACGAACCGAAAAAACGCGTGGCAGGTGGGGAAAGCGCAAAATTTGAACGTTCAGTTAACCGTTGGACAGTGAAGAGGGGGCCTGTCTGCTTCCTCGCTCTTCCCAGCATTTTGAGAGTGGATTTGGCGACAGTCTTCAGACTGCCTGGTACTGCCTGGTATTGCCTGGTATAGTGCTGTATGGACTGTATTTTTATTTTTTGGCTTTTTTTAAATTTTTGATTTTTGGATTTTTAAAAGGTGTTCCCTCCCTCCTTTGCTGCCCCCTTTTCCTCCAAAAGGTGCTTGTATTGGCTTGTCTTGGTTGAAAAGGTGCTTTTCAAGGTGATCTGTTGTCTGAAAGATACTTGGTTTTTCCCAGAAGGTGCTTGTCTTGGCTGAAAAGGTGCTTTTCTTTTTTTTTTAAACTTTTTTTATTATATAAATCCATCCATATTGGTTTAACATCGTGTCACCAGGGTACAGCTTATAATTATTTGTAAAACAACTACTACACACATTATACTCCTAATCTATACAACATCCTTCTAACCATTGATAGAATAAGTCCCATGTTTGGTAATACAGTGGTGCCTCACACAACGATGTTAATTGGTTAAAAAATCAACGTTGTGTGAAACATCGTTCTGTGAAACACCATTTCCCATAGGAATGAATTGAAAACCAGTTAATCCGTTCCAATTGGAATAGATTGCCGTCTTTAAGTGAAAAAACCTCAGTGCTTTTGAAGTCTTTTCCGATGTCCCTTTTCGCTCATTTTTACGGGTCTTACAATGTTTGGAACAGGTTTTAAATGCTTGCAATCGTTAGCCCACCTCCTGAACCATATGCAAACTTAATTTGGTGTTGTTCTGATTCGTCCTTAATTTTTGGTGATTTTTTGTTTTCCCTATTTAAATGCATTGAACTGTCCATTCAATTGATTTAAATGGGGAAAATAAAAAAATCACCAAAAATTAATGAAGACTCAGAACAAAACCAAATTAAGTTTGCACATGTTTCACAAGGTGCACTATGGAATCCAAGCCTTTAAAACAGGTTTCAAACATTTTAAGACACTTTTAAATGAGCAAAAAGGGACATCGTTAAGTGAAATTCCCCCATAGAGAACATCGTTAAACGATGGGGGAAATTCCTCAAAAAAGCCCATCGCTGTGTGAATTCATCGTTGTATGAAGCAATCGTTGTGCGAGGCACCACTGTATTTTGTATCTTCTTTTCCTTTGATTTTCAGTGTTAGTCTGTCCAGTTCGGCGCAGTCCAATATCTTTTTAATTCTTGATCCGTAGGTGTTCCTTCATTTTTCCAGTACTGTGCATAAATAATCCTCGCCGCTGTTAGAATATGCAGTATTAAATATACATTTTGTCTAT